ACAAGAGGAAATTAATCAAGTTGAATCATCGAAACCGGTAATTTGCAGGCTTCTTCGAAGCAAGTATTATAATCTCGCCGGTCATTTTCCACGATGTGAACATCAAGGTCGAGGGATTCCTTCAATTTCGACATCCTTTCGAGTGACTTGATTCATATTCGCACATGAATGCAGTGTGACAACTTTTTGTCTTTCTCGTCAGCTGTTTCGATTTACATTTCCCTTCTACAATACTTCCTTTTTAATTTCTGTCTCTGTTGACTTCTCTTTGTTTCTTTCCTACTATTCTACTACTTCTAAAGACAGACGTTTAACAATTCCAGAGTTTAAAGACAGAATCTCTGTTTGTGGACTGACTATCGTGGCAGGAAGAAGTCAATAAATGCAGCAGTTAGAAAACAAAATTTTACAAATAGGCAGTCGACAAGGTGGTGACAAATTTTAATTGAACGAATAGGAAATTAATCAATATCAAGCGGACATAATACCAGTAAACTTGTGTCCCTTCAACGACGTATTTTTATTTTCTGCCTGCCCGTTTTTGTTACGTTCAAACGGCTGCCTGAATGAATATAATTTGATTAAATTTAGTGCTCCAGTTTCATTTTCAAAGATTTATGGCTGAAGTAGAGAGACATATTTTTATTCAAAGTGAACAGCATGCATTTTCATTTTATACTGTTTACTTTAGACTTTATTTGTAGACGTATTCACTTAAACGTTCCGTGTTTATTAAAGATTTGTTTTATCAACGGCACTCTTTAAGAGCGTGGACATTTTAAGTTATAAATACATTCATAGGACTTATTTTATTTGCAGTAGTTAACTAATAAAGGAGCTCGTTTGTTGTAAATGTGCTACTGATACCTAGATTGTTGTCTTATAACGGAGTCATGTTTTACTGTGATGTAAACGGAAGTTTAAATAGTAAATAAAGCCAGAATCAGTTTACACAGACCATTCATGAGGACATAAAGGCGTAATTGGTAAAAAACAGACGGAAAATGTTCCTCACTTAGCTTTACAATAAAGTGTCCATGACTGAATGTTGAGAGCAAACAATAAAAGTTCTTGTTAATTTGATGTACGAGACGGAAATTACATCAACACACGTCCTACTGCAGTGTGTGTGAATAAGACAGCGATGAATGGCATAAGTGGTTGCAAAAGCAGCATCATAAAAGTAGTTACTAATATGCAGAAAACGCGAGTTACACGGTTTCAACAATTCTTTTTCTTCCAGTCCACTTATGACTACTCCTTTGCATTAATTATATAAATAAACCAGCCGCGGTCTTATCTCTTCCAATAGTGAAGTCTCGAAGATAACTGCACCGTACTCAAAATCATTTAACGACGTAGCTGATTTACCGAATGCCCGCCCAAGTATCAAACTAGCTGAAGAGCTGCCGGATTGGTTAACCAAACAGTCGTCTGTCCAAACATCCAAGCAGAGTCACTGACTACTAAACGGATTACGTAACTAGCTACATCGAATCTCTAACAATCTCATTCGAAAATAAAGAAGTACACTTTTAGACCCGAACCTGAGCCTTGTGTCAAACGGTAATCTGTGTAGATGCCTCGAAGAATGAAATGTAGGAAATAAATCTCCGGATATTTAGCCACGCATGTAACAAACTCTTAAGAACCTAATTAGCGTCTTGTGAAAGGTGACAAAGTTTAGGCGACGAAGGAAGCAACATGATGGTCAAAGGAGATATTTTGTTATTTTTAACTTAACAGTTGATGGCTCAAAGAATTTTAGAGCCTCCACACAAGATGATCCTTCACTTTCTCATACAAATTCATTTTCTATTTCACCTAACTATGAGGATGTGTTATGTACGAACTTTTGATGTTAATGTTACACAAATACAGAGTTTATAAATTGGGCATGGTAATGGGCTGTTAAATAATATAAAACTTTCGTAAAAGTTCTGTTTGTAGAATGGAAAAGAACAAAATGGCAGCTTTACAAATTTCTTTTGAGCCTCCAGTTTTACAGCGATAGTTAATGTAAAATTTGGTGTAGGCACATCATAAATATACAAAAAAAAATTAAAATTTGAAATATAGTTTATATGTTAATAGTAACAAACTTGGTAACTGTGCGAAATGATGAGATTCCATATGACAAATTTCTCGAAATCTGTACATAAGAAACACGTTCTTCCTCAAGAATATATTAACAGATTCTCACAATAATAACAATATTTTTAAACAAATCTGTAAATGCAAGGAATAATAGAAGAAATTCGATTGATAATATGGCCGTCGTAGGATCTGAGGTTTTCACGGCAGTGAGTCCAAAGATGGCTGTCTTCTGGGTTGTAGCGCCTTGTAGTCTGATACAACCCAGAAAACAGCCATCTTTGATTATATGGTCATCTGTTCACCGGCTCATAACTCTTCAAATAATGTGCTTTCATTTTACCAGACTATAATATACACTGCCTGCATACAAAATTAACAACACACGATCATCTTCACTTCAGGGGTTTTAAAAGTTTCCTGTTTGTATTCAGTATCCAACACACGATTTGTTTGACTGGGTGCGATAGAAAATTAAGCTCTGCAAGTTATTCCTGTATCTCAATGTTTCGTATTTCTGTAAAAATTACTTGCACATGTGAATAATTTTAATGGAAGCCTTTCTTTATTATAGGACGACTGGCTGTGATAGTGTTTGGTCTGTGCACTCTAGCTATGGGAATAATCCTGTCTTCAATACCATGGCTCGACTACATTATATTGAAAGTAAGCTTATTAACCTTAAAAATTAGAATTAGAATTCAGTTATGATATTTTTTTTACCTCTACAAAAAATTAACGTGCAGGTTTTGGTGAAGTTTTCCGTTATTTTCTAATAAACTCTTTTCAGACTGTCTGGTAACAAATTAAGCTGAAGGTAGATTATATAATGTCTCCATTTTGTGAAGATCTAGTAACAATTATTTCTCAATTACTGAATGTGTACTTCATAATTGTTGTATAATTATTTATTGATGAATTCATTTCAGAAAGTTATATTGCACTCATTAGGCGACAACTACGGAAAAGTGTCTCTCACTCTGTTGTACGTATTACGTCACATTTTTAAACAAGTGCAGAAAATGTTGTGTGTGTACGACGCAATTCTTTGTTAAAGAAATAAATAAGAGAGTAAAGATATAAGGAGGGAGAAGAAGAGAGAGGCACAGGAATTACCAAACAAGTGATTTTTTTTCCTGTATTTAATTTTGTATTTGTTGCTCTATGTCTGACTATTTTATTCTTTCCCTGTCTCATTCTCCGCTGTCTGTCGGACGTTTCTAGTTCATTAATGTCTCCGCGTCATTCGTATTATCTTTTCTTTATTACTTAACTTTTGTTGATTTTCTGATGCATATTTTCAGAACCTGAGGCTAATGAACGGCTCCCTGAGTTACCACTACTGGCAGAGACCTGGCGTCAACAGGCTTACCAAGGTGTACATATTCAACGTCACGAACACCGATGCCTTCCTCAACAACGGAGAGAAACCGAAACTCGCGGAAGTAGGACCCTTCGTGTACAGGTAATAGAATTATTACGTCCTCTGTTTAGAGCTTTATGACAATCCGAAAAATAAAATCAAGTATATCAGTTAAAACAATTACATACAAAGTGATATAGTACAGTGGAAATAAATATGGTATCTTGACCGAACGGAAATTAAGTAACAAAAGACTAATTATATATTAAATAAACCTAAAAACATATTCTTCACATTTTCCTTCTATAATAATTACATTACGAAGAATGAAATAGGCGACAAATATAGTTTTCATTGGAAATTAACGAAATACATTCAGATATTTTGTAATATTAAACAAAGAGAACCTGTAATTAAAAGCTTCGAAGAGGGAATAATATTAAAGTAGAATATTTACTAATGTCATTCGAAGGTAAGTAATATATGCAGTTGTTAGAACGTTAAGTAGCCCACGAAACCCGAGCATCAATTTGGGGCAAGTTTGTCAATATCAGCTTCTAGTAATTGTTATTTATATTGAGGAAGTTTTGTCATTATGTCGACTGCCCTGTCTGAGAGTTGCCGTGGTGTTCTGATAGCCCAGAAGTATTCCTCAACAGTGGCTTAAAATATGGTGGTACATACACATTCAAACTCACTACTCATTACTATTATCTACGCTTCCATTCGAGAAAATATCAACTTCGCATTCCACACGGAGTCCTTAGCTATTGAAGAAATGAGAAATACCAACCAATGAAAAGTACGAATTTTTCAGAATATATTAACTAAGTGAAGATGATGTATCCCACATTTGTCAATGGCTATTTATATCTGTCGTCTTTCACAGTCCAGGTAGCCCTCGATTTACGCCGGGGATGCGTTCCTGGACGAACCGGCGTAAACGGAATCGATGTAAATTGAAACTCTTTTATAATGTTAATCAATGGGAAGTCAATGACTTGCGTTCCCAGCACCCAAACATTGACGAGTAATATAATGGCATTACATTTAAAGCTCTGAAATAACGTAGATAAAATAAAGGGAATTTAAAAAATATATTTTATATACTTACAATCGGCAATTCGTTGGTCCCCGCGATTGACTGCGATTCTTTCATGTGATTGATGTGTGCAGTCATCTCTGCTGTTATGCGATAGTTTCATTCATGTACGACGCCGACCTATAGAAAATCGGTAGTAAAAATAATCCCGGTACCTCCGCAGAGATTAAATTAGTCCTTTGAAAGTTTAAAGCACCAGGAATGAAATTGCATAAGAGCAAACTTACATATGCAAAAGTTTGCATTTCACAAACAGCTTTTACCGATTCATCGATCTCATTGGAGCAAATTCGCGTTAACGAAACACACGTAATTGCAGAGATGACTGTATTTATAATTTTTATTCAAAATCAGCGAAGTAAGAATTACGATTTAATATAAGAATCAGTACGAGAAACATTGTAAAACGTTATAAATAATAGTAAAATATATTTTTTCACTTTTTGACTTTCTGGTTTCAAAATAGGCGTTATTCTGAATCGGCGCGAATCGAGGGCTACCTGTACAAACTTTATTTTAATCACAAGCAAATAGTTGTAATATCTGAGAAATGAAATATTTTAATAAAAAACCTACGACTACATCAGTCGAAATTTTTCCTGGTAGATAGTTTTATACCCGTGTAAAATATATAGTTTCATATCATAAACTTAGCATAATATTTTATAGTATTAAATGTCTGTAGGGCTGTCATATTTTAAAATGTTTGTCCTGTAAAAAAGGAAAACAAATTGTGGGATGGCGAACTGATTCTCTGGTAACGGAATCCGAAATTTCAATGCCACCAACACCTAAATTCACCATTCCCTATGATATTGAGCCAGTTTAATTCCATTACGTTCCAAGGTACCATTTACCACACATCTATTTTAATCCTCCTCCTAAGTGAAAGCTGTTTTGAGACCCAAGATCTCGCTCCATAACCAGTTGTTTGTTTGCTTGTTTCTTTGTTCGTTCGTTTGTTAATTGTATGGTTAGTCCGTTAAACAAAATTTGAATCCACTACGAAAGAAACAGACCATAGAATTAACCACAGCACACTCCGGTGAACAGCCTTATTAGGCAGTAGGATTCAGCGACGTGAATCAGTCTTTATTTACTGATTACAGCGAGTTTTTGTATGCATCCCGAAAGCTGCGGTAATCTCAGAGACAACTACAAAGAACTGCGTAAGGTTGCCATGTTTGCTTTCTTTTTTTCTGAAGCTGAATAATTGTTTTCTCTATCGCATGGCTAATGTGCCTGTTTTGTCTTGTTATTGGATTATAAAAGTAAATTTCTATCAGTAAAGGTAGGGATATTCCATCCTGCAAACTCTAATTAAGTAACAAATATTTATTGTTGATGTTTCTGAAACAATTTTAAAACATTTCCATTGGTATTGTGTTTTGTATTGCCAAGAAAAATTGGTTTGTTAGGTTTCAATAATTCCACACCGATAGAATTAGGAGCTGGAGAATACGTATTTGTCAGATAAAGAAGAAAACAGTTCTTCAATTATCGTCCACAGAGAAATTATTTCTTTATCGGGATAAACATCTTATAACTTATAAAAATATTATTCCTCTGAAAATTGAGGTTAGCTCGCTATTAAATCCAATAAAGAAGTGCATTTTCTGTCAATATAATAGTAGTTTTAGGCAATATAATTTATTTTATCCAAATACTAGCTACATTTTTAGTCTATGAGTATTTGTGCTCATGCACATTACTAAGCCAAATATGAACATCATAATATAGTGATTTGTGCCTTTAGATTCATCTGTTTCGAGTCCCTTGCTTCTGTGACTCAGTTTCGTCATATTAATACGTGCATAAATCCATAAAACGGACATAACAGCTTCCTTCCGCTTTCTACATAATTAACCAATCATACTCTGCCTCCCTTTCGACGTTCTGTGGTTGGTAGGTAAAGAAACCAGCATTCAAAATGGGATATTAAATTTTTACATGTATTTAGGCAGGCATTTTGTCTATATTTTGTGGTTTCAAGGACATTTGCTTGTTTTGCGTTATTACTCACACGAGTTGCAAAGTGCATTGATATTGACGGTGGAATTTTCGAAAATGTATTATACTAGGTAAACTGTACCAACTTTGTCACTTGAACAATAAATACCGGTACTATTAACAGTACGTAATATCTCTTTCTTATCAACAATTTTGTAACTGTACAGTGAAATAGCTGTATCTCGGAAACCGTTCGGAATAGGAAACATGTACATATAGACTTTTCTGCTTAGAATGACCGATACTATTACCTCCCAGAATATTGACCTTTCCTCCTGGGACACTCTGTATAAATGGAACATCACTTATATTATATTCATTTTAAATCGTGTTCAAATTGAGAGAAAATGTTAAAGAATCGAAAGGCTGGTATACTACAGAAAAGTGAGAGTAGATAAGTTGTGAGTTATAGGCCTGTTACCAAACTTTCATATGTTATAATAGTCGTACATATGATAAATTACAATTTCCACATCGGTTTCTCTTCGTGTCAAGGATATTAATCTTTCACGTTACTAGCTTTGAAGCAGGTTACGCATGAGACGTTTTGTCATTCATTTGTTACACTTTCAAGAATATGATCTGAGTTAACGACGAAAACCATTTCTGACCTTCGTATAACATCAAGAAGGTTTAAATTATGATAATTTAGGTTATACATACACCTGTCACAATACAATCATTAATATTTACTGCGTTGTTTAATTTAATTGAAAGATAAATTAGTGTACGACTATTTTGTGTATTTAAAAGGAAAGTGGAGCTCATTATTTTGGTCTTTGTCTTTGTATGGTGTGTGCCCTGTCCAAATAAAACATTATTTTAAAGCCAGATTCTCTCACAAACGTCTATCTTGTGCAGACCAAAAAATTAGGTGTTTTAAATTTTATGCCATAACAATATTAACACGAAGACCATGGAAACTTCTCAGGTAGAAGCAACAATAATGCCAGTGTCATTATAAAAATTGTCGGATTTTTGAACGTCTGTAATATTAGTCTCTTTTTTCCTAAATGTAATACCGTAAAACAGGGAAATTTGATTTTCTGAAGAAAAAACCCATGGAAAATTGCCTGTCACATAACATTTTGGATAATAGCGTTAAAGATGGCCAGCACAATCAATATTAGTGATTTTATGTACAGAAGATCAGTCATTGGTCGAGGGAATGTTATATAGATGAATGCTCTAAAGTTTTTAAATGCTAAATCTAGGAGACCAATGCTGCCAATAGCATTTATGTGTTGTCTGAGGTCCAGGCGGCACTTGGAGGTGTGAGTAGATGACCGTGAATTTGGAACAGTTTTGGCATTTAGACTGAGACAGACCGCGCTTTCAGCCAAAACGAGGAATGTTGTATTCACTAATGAGAATAACTCGAAAATATAATCACAGACATAGTTATTTCAAAACCTTTGAAAGAACTGATTTATTGAAGGGCTTTGGTGTGTAAGAATGAAATGTACAGAAGGAGGATATTTCACCAGTTTAACAAAAATAAGTGTCCTGGCATTAAAACCTGCCTCTAAAAAAGGACATGTCTAGGAAAGGAAGACGCCTGGTCTTCTCATTAGAAGATTACACTTGGAAACAGAAGGAAGAGAAAATGATGTGAGAAAAATAAACGCCCCCTGTGTAGAGGGGAAGGTGTTTTCTGCGTATTTTATTAATATTTCGAGAAAAGGAAATAGATTAATCTTGTTTCCTATGAAGACTGTATCATCCTTAATGTAATGTCGCTCTTTTATAGGTAGTGTCAATCAAAATATGACTACAAATTTCTGTGTTAAGGACGCACATTTCGAGTTGAGTTACGTTTTTTTACATCGTACTACTTTCATTAATTTGTTCAACTTACAATACCTGTTACACAATCAGTTTTTATGTGCGAGATTTGAGGTTTTCACAGCGGCAAATCTGAAGATGTTATCTTCTGGGTTGTTACGCCATGTAGTCTGGTAGATGTCCACCAACGTTTCATCGTCCTGAT